CACAACTGGCAGGGGAATTATACAACAAGTATATATTTCTCCAGACCCGGGAACAATTGCAAAGGTGGGCAGTTATCCTTTACAAAAGCCACGTGTACTTGTATGATTGTTGTTTAACGCCGCGACCAGCATCATGAGCATCGATCTACGCAATTGGGATACGATGTGTCAACCACGTCAGCGAGCCAGACCACCCGATCCCGTTAGTCGCCTCTTATGACAAGCAAGGGTAATGGTGATAAATGAATGAACTAGGGGAATGTCGACTTCAAACTTAGAGTCACGTATGTATGCAGCGATTTGCGGCGCCCTAGACGACTGGGCTTCAACGCCATCCTGTATCTTCCCGAATCTGCCCAGCTGCTTCCAGAGTTGGGGCGGTGGGGTGGCCTAGTGGTTAAAGAGTTCTCTCGTCACGCTAAAGACCCGGGTTCGATTCCCCACATGGGTACAATGTGTGAAGCCCGTTTCTGGTGTCCTCCGACGTGATATTGCCGGAATATTGCAAACTCACTCCCAGACAGAGTTGATTAGTTTGGCTGACTGTTCAAAAGTCGACTTTAGACGAAGTGCCTAATTTGTGATAATTCACTAAATGTCCTTAATGATTAAAAATCATCTGCAAGGAAAAATGTCTTCCTCACGTTCTGAGTGCCCCAACTTATAAATGCCTCTCAAAGAGGTTACAATGTTTGGTATCTAATCGCAGTGCGGGGATATTTAGCTGTGGCGTGGCTGCTGGTATCCTCGAGATCAACCCCTTTTCAACCACGCACAACTGAGCTGAGCGATATCCCAGCTATATGGCGGCGGTCTGTAAATAATCGAGTCTGGACCAGACAATCCAGTGATCAGCAGCATGAGCATCGATCTACGCAATTGGGAACCAATGACATGTGTCAACCAAGTCAGCGACCCTGACCACCCGATCCCGTTAGTCGCCTCTTACGACAAGCATGGGTTACTGAAGATCAATTCTAACCCGGATCTTCACGGATAGGCAGGAAAACAATGTGTGGGTCCTCGACAAAATATAGTACAGTTCTCATCAATAAACCCACCCCGCATTATAAATTACCGGTCCGTAAAGTACATTAGGACAGCAAGTGGTGGATTGGCTTCTTCAATGTGTGTGGAAGTGGACAATCGAAAAAAAAGCCCACTGATTAACCGTTTATAAATCTTCCCACCATTTAACATGAAATAAGTGGCATCCACCACTCATTTCCTTTCAGAAACTAAAATCAATGGGAGGTTCTTGACATGCATGACTCTGTGATGTCCTGTTGATGACACGGTTGATAGTCGACTTGTGAGGAAGAATGTGGCCACCTGTGCCCACTTGCACAAAGCGATCTTAGCCTAGCGCTACGACTATCTTAAGCCTATGTTGGAGAATTGGAGTTACAATCATTGAAGCGCTAAGACCGCTTTGTGCAAGTGAACCCAGTGAAGTAAAGGATCGTCCAGGGCCTGAAAGAACGAGGAAGACCAATGACGGTAATGACGTTTTAATGCGTATGACAATTGGTAAAACGAAATACAATGACCCATACCAAAGAACTGCGCCGACAGTGGGAAGTCCGAAGTCCCACCATTGATGTGGTCGCCAGTGGTGGATCATACAATCCCAACAATCATTATTTGAGAACAGTGACGTTCACACTGCTGACGTAGTCACGGTGACCATAGTTTCCAACATTGCTGATATTCACGTTTTTGTGCATTCCTCTCAGATGTCAAGTAAATAGACGCCAAATTTCAATTTCAGTTTGGTTGGGTTTTTTCATTTACTCAGAGTAAAATTACTATTTTAATCCGCGGAATTTGGTTTTCAAAGCATATGCAACATGTAGTGTTTTCTCAGCAAAAAACAACAAGGTGAGGTGAGGTGAAATTGGGTTTAACGTCGTGCTTGAGAATATTTGCTCATATGACGACGTGCATCCGTGTGTATGTGTATGTGCGGCTGCTTGTACTAGCCCAGACTTAAGCTGGTTTTATAGTACTAGCCCACTGAGATACCATGATGCAGTGAAGCATGAATACCCCACTCAGACACATTATACTGACTCCGAGCCCACCAGTCCTTGTTGTACCCATTAATGCCGAGCGCCAGGCAGGGACCAACAAGTACCATATTTTAACGTGTTTTGGTATGACGCGGTCGGGGATCGAACCCGCGACCTTCCGCTCTCCGGGCGGACGCTCTAACCACTACACCACGAATGCGGTCTGCAAAAACAACAAAGTGTATGGTGCTCGAGTAATGCTCGTTTGTATATAGGCATTGTTTCACACTGAATCTAATTATTAGACTGACCTGCAACCAACGCAAGTGTGTCGGAATGTTAGAGGTCTTCGTGTCTTCGTTGTGTATTTTTAGAAAGACTGAAATATACAGAATGTTACTGCGGCCTACAAAGCCAACCAGACTGTTGGACTAAAGCCTACCTAAACTGTAACCTTTATATTATAACACTGGTGTTGACATAACTCGTATATCAGGGACACGCACTTTCTCTTAACCTTGTTTTTGTACACTTACAACACCCTGCAGGTCTTGGAACGAGCGCCGAGGCTAGTGCAAATTGGTTTATGGCTATGTCTGAACTCCTCGATAATAACCGGACAGGGATTCCATACGTCGAGAAAATCAACACAGTGATGAAAGGTATGGTGTCAAGACTAAGAATGTCCTCCTCTAACAGAGGCACCTTTCATTGACATAGTTCGCGTTTCTGGCCCTCATTTCAGCAAACCTCTTTAGATTACCCACAATTTTTAGTGCCACGAAACGTCCTTAAAATTGGCAAACATCCCGCTAATGCCGGGTTAGAATTTGTCTTCAGTAACCCATTCTTGTCGTAAGAGGGGACTAACGGGATCGGGTGGTCAGGCCCGCTGACTTGGTTGACACATGTCATCGTAGCCCAAAACCTCAAGATGTTAATCACTGGATTGTCTGTTCTAGACTCGATTGCTCGATTATTTAAATCTGCAATATTGCTGAATGTGGCGTTAAAAACAAACAAACAAACAAACGCTGATGCCAAAACAGGTATGGTGGTATCCCGTCATCAGACGTCTTACGCTGGGTGTAACAACGCTTTGAACAATATTCTAGTACTATCACGGCTTGTCAGCTGATCTCACAGGTGATGCTGATCTCACAGGTGATGCTGATCTCACTGGTGATGCTGATCTCACTGGTGATGCTGATCTCACTGGTGATGCTGATCTCACGGGTGATGCTGATCTCACAGGTGATGCTGATCTCACAGGTGATGCGGATCTCACAGGTGATGCTGATCTCACAGGTGATGCTGATCTCACACGTTTACAACTTTGGTGAAACCTACGAGCATGTGTTTTATGCTGATAATCGGGACGTACCGAGATTCGAACCCAAGAGAAGAAGTTCCTGGCTTGCCGAAGGGACGCAACTCTGTACAGTGAAATGACAACTAAGACAGCTGGGCCACCCATGTCCCTTCTTACAACGGAACGGCTTTATCGTCCATCTTATAGAAGTACTGACTGATGTATCAAATTGCACCGGCATTGGTCGCATACATGAAAGCAAGAACATTTGAGACGCATTCATTTGTTTCGCTCTGCATCAGCACAGCACTTCCTTTGTTTGATATGAGCTAATGCATAGGTAACTATCATTACGATCACGCGTGTCACTAGTGGATATCTGATGTCGAGACCAGGGCCCCTAAAGTGGATTGTATTTCCACATCAATGAATGCACACTTGTCCGTATGAGTGCAACGTCATAAATCTGAAACAGTGGCTTAAGGTGACCTTGGCGACACAGACTGTGTGTGACGTCAAGAACCGGTCATATTCCTCCCATAGGCCTATGCCATGTAGTGTATCGTGTATTGAATTGTGAGAGTGCAGAATGTCAGATTTATCACTCTTGAAATGGAGTCCTCTCAACACTATGACTGCGTTAACACTGGCAATATCCATATAACTTTGAGCAGCATATTCCTCCCATTCTTTGTAGTATCTGAAATTGTGAAAGAATGCCAGCAATCCTCTTGAAATGGAGTCCTACCATCACTGCGTTAACCCTGACAATATCCACAATACTTTGAGTAATAGATCATTCTTTCGATCATCTGATTCCCTTACCATCATTGCTACTGAGTAGTTAATCATCTGATTCCCTTTATTGCTATAGTTAATATGTAAGGAGTGAGTTTTTAGTTTTACGCCGCTTTTAGCAATATTCCATCAACATCACCAGAAATGGGCTTCACATATTGTACGTATATCCATCTGGGGAATCGAACCCGGGTATTCAGCGTGACGAGCGGACGCTTTCCCCATTAGACTAAACATATCAACCTAGCGGTAATACTTGAGGATCTATAGTTTCTTTAAAAATGCATCATGTTCTGAAAATTATGTTACATTCTTGATAGATTTCAGCCTAGTGTTTCGTTGGGGCAATTTGCCTCTTGAAACTGAACTTAGTTCATAGATTTACTGACTGACTGACTTAATTTTGGTTTTACGCCGCATTTAGCAACATCACGGTGGGGGACACCAGAAATAGGCTTCACACATTGTACCCATGTGAGGATTCGAACCCGGATCTTCGGCGTGACGAGCCAACGGTTTAACCACTAGGCTACCCCACCGCCCCTCATAGATTTACATGTGCAGCAGTTCCGGTCTTGTTCTGCTTTACTTAAACACATTGTCGCACTTCCGATTAAGGTTAAACTGCGCAAATCCTATTTAATATAGTAATATAGTAATGCTTCATAGTTTGTACCTAAGTGGGGAATCCAATGCTAGTCTTCAGCGTGACAAGTGAACGTTTTAACCACTATGCTCCTCCACCGCCCGAGTTAATCTGTAAAGCCACGATAGACCAACGACACTAAAGAGAAAGAATTGGTTGGTCCTTGACTTCGTTTTAGTATAATTTGTATTAATACATTTTATCTGTGCACACATGTATAACAGACCCACTCTGCAAGTGATTAAAAAGGTTTAATAATCCATCTTTTGCATCACAAATACATCTCTCAAAAGCACCTTTTTTTCTGCTCTCGGAACAACCCGTCACTCTCTGTTAAGTGTAAAGCTTAACTTTCCTGTAAGACTGTTCTCGGCGAAGCATCCAAAGGCCAATCGGCTCTGTGTATTGGGCGGTATAACAACAACTATTCAAATACTGTGTCTTGAAACATCAAGTTAATACTTCAGTTTTATATTCTGATTATACATTCCACAATACGTATTCTGAGGTTATACATCTTAACAGTCAATTTCACTATTTACATATATCCCGGTCTCTGGTGGTCATGGATACGGTGATGCCTTCACAGGTTCCATTTATGCCCGATGTTTGCGTGATGCTCATGACTGTGTTTGTGCCGACATATGACGACGGGGATGTGGGAATGGTGAAGGACGTAGTCGCTGACGCTGCCGAGAAAGGTACGTCTGATGGCACCGAGACCGCGACAGCCAATGACAATGAAGTCGGCATCCTCTTCTTCTGCGCCTTTACAGATCGCGTCACCCGGATTGTGGGACGAAACAGCCTTGACCTTGCCGCGCATCTACAGACAGACAAGGCATACTCAGATTACCTGTACATGTGTATACATTCACAGCAGTGTATACATGTGTATACATTCACAGCAGTGTATATATGTGTTATAAACTAACAATTCGAGTGATACAAACAGCTGAATGCAGACATTGGACTAACAAAGCCATACTTATGTCTTATCAGCACTGATATTTAACTCGGGGCGGTTGGGTAGCCTAGTGGTTAAAGCGTTGGCTCGTCACGCCGAAGACCCGGGTTCGAATCCCCAGATAGGGTACAATGTGTGAAGCCCATTTCTGGTGTTCCCCGCCGTGGTGTTGCTGGAATATTGCTAAAAGTGGCGTCAAACCAAACTCAGTCAGTCACTCAGATATTTAACTCCTCTTTTTCCTCTAAAAAGTATCATGTCACAGATTGAATTATGTTTCAAACTCTGTGTTAAATTATTAATATAAACGTTCACGTATTAACAGAAACGTACATAGTTACTAAGTGCTTGTTATAGTTCCCTTAAAAGTTCTTTATATAGTCCGTATCATGATATCACCAGATCCCCCATTCTAGAGCAATACATCTTAAGATGGTGCGTCCTGATACAAGATATAATCCGACACTATGTACCCAAATGTAAGACAACACGTGCCAACCACCATCAGACACCCGGTGTTAAACAATGGACACCGACACACAAGCAGGATCAAACTGGGTTCCTACATGTTTACAATGCGGAAAGTCCATATCTTGTGCCCCTCCCGTGATATTACCGGAATTGGCTAAATGCAAACCATACCCACTCTGTCATTCTGTGATCAACCGAAAATCATTTTCAGGATTATTCTGAGGTCTCGAGAAAATATGGGGTTATTCCACCCCACAAACCCCTTGGTTCAGGAAGGCATCCAACTACCCACCATTCCATATCGCTCTCCGAGTACTGGCGTGTAGTGAGTGAGTAGATGCAGTTTACGCGCCACTAGCGTGAGTGAGTGAGTTTAGTTTTACGCCGCACTCAGCAATATTCCAGGTATATGACGGCACGCGCCACTAGCAATACAACACCAAAACCACAGCGAGGTACAGAAATGGGCTTCCATATTCTCCCGATAAGGTGGGTTTAGCCTGGTGGTAAAGGCGTCCGCTCGTCACGCTGAAGACCCGGGTTCGATTCACCACATGGGTACAATGTGTGAAGCCCATTTCTAGTGACCTCAGCCGTGTTATTGGAATATTGCTAAAAGCGGCGTTAAACCAAACTCACTCACTCACTCATTCCATATTCTACCCACGTGGAGAATCTAACCCTGCCTTTGGGGTGATGCGCGAATGCTTCAACATATGTGCTACCCCATCGCCGCGAAATGCTATGTTAACGTACCTCTCTTGTCAGCATCTTCTCCTTAAAAAAATGTAGTTTCTCTTCAACCTTCTCCTTCTCCTTAGCCAGATGGTGAGCAATGTGATCGGTGTCTATGTTGTAATCTCCTGGATACAGGAAGATGCATATTAGAAAGGGTGCAGTATTCGTGTCAGTAAAAGACAACTCTTACGAAACCCACATTTTTGGTCTAGTTTACAGAAATCGAACTCAAATTCATAGCGGATCCGGACAGATCAAGGGGAACTAAACGACTTATGTCTGCCACTCTGTCTCACAGTCCCTGAACCACATTATTTCCTCTTCCGGCCAGCCCTTTCTGCAGTGCTAAAGCCTAAATAAAGCAAGTTTATATCTGAATCTTCCATCTCACTTGGACTCCTTTTCAATTTAAAAGGAATTGTTTGTTTGAAGCAAAGTTATATCTATTCAGAGACTAAGTGTTAGTTTATGTCTCGAAGCAAATGCTGAGAGCCATTTACCGGTAGCTTTTGAAGTATGCCAAGTAGAAATAGACATAGCTTTTTCAAGTGGCATTTTAGAAGCTGCTATGACGAAGAAACAGATAATTAACCTTTTAATCTTATACTCGATTATCTAGTGTGTTATCTCTTCATTCTCATTTGATAAATGTCTTGGACTGTTACCTACGCCTACGATAAGTTGGTTTTCAGCCCAACTAAAGGTAACGATTGTCACGAGTGAGATAAATTCGTTACTAAGCTAAAGATTCATGAAGGCGTAAAGGCGATGACGCAACTTCAGAAAAAAATATCTATGGATCCAAGGTATTTACCTCTTAAGCACTGACATATAATACACTGGATGATCGGGCGTGTCAGATCCTTGCGTTGACTTTGTTCGTGGAAAATGTCAATTGACAATGTTATAACTTTGGCTTGACGTTACAGACAGCAACGAAAAAAGGACAGCGTAAAGCTAATGCTAAATCCAGTGATGAACAAGCCACACAATGTGAACAGGGCTCACCTAATACCCCTCACCAAAACTCATTTCCAGCTGAATAACATGTAATAGTTAGCATTCTTGACACAAATACAATATCTGTATCAAACTTTGCCCTGCACCTTTCCTATAAAAAGGAGTGAGTGAGTTTAGTTTTACGCCGCACTCAGCAATATTCCAACTATATGGCGGCGGTCTGTACATAATCGAGTCTGGACCAGACAATCCAGTGATCAACAACATGAGCATCGATTTGCGTAATTGGGAACCAATGACATGTGTCAACCAAGTCAGCGAACCTGACCACCCGATCCCGTTAGTCGCCTCTTACGACAAGCATGGGTTACGGAAGATCAATATTCTAACCCGGACCTTCACGGGTACTATAAAAAGGAAGCGATTACCCAAATCTGTAAACTATCCATTAAAATATCGTAAAGTTATTGGTTGAACAAATCCGGCCTGGAAGGTTTTCGCCGAGTTGAAGAGATGTAATTTGTTTTAATATTATATATAATTACAAATATGACAAGTAAAACATTGCTTTGTTCATCTCCTATATATTTTTTTTAGTTTGGAGGATGATCCCTTAATTTGAAACCAATCAAAATAATCAAAGGTTCAAAATAAGTAAACTGCCGCAACTGTTTCAAGAAATATATAATCTGAACTGAACATTGCACTGACCCCTCCTTTAGACAAAGAAGCAAAATTTAATACCATAATGAAACTTTGCACTCTCCTTAAAGTGGCTCCCACAATATGTAAAACAACCCAGCCAACCAACCAGGTGTAAAAAGCCATGCTGGAATAAACTGAATTCCAAAATTATCGGTTCCGAGTCGATCATATACTGCCCTAACCAAAATTACCTTAACCGCAGATGAAATTCATTTCCTAAAGGAATGAGTAGGTGTGAGTCTCGTGTCACATGCTCATGAACGAAAGATCCGCTGTTTGGGGTATGTTTTGCAAGGCGATGTGTCCCCTCAACTACTGCCCCCAAACACCCAAGACATATTAGGGAAGTTTGTGTCTTTTATCTTGGTTGCTTAAGTCAGTCCAGTAACTACTACTTCCTGGTTATCAACTGCATGTTTTGAAGAACAGGCTGATGCTGAAGTTGACATCATCTGCTTTGAATGTCACATCACTTGCCATTTATCAACCAGGCGCTACTTAAACCGAATTTATATTTACATATGTTGAAAGTTTAAGTGGGAACGTTACTAAGGTCACAAGATACTTGTCACGATTTATGACAATAAAGGATCAGCAGTCTGGAATTACAATAATAGGGTTTATTATTATGACATGAGATATACTTTGCATATGGCCTCGTGTTAAGACCTTTTCCCGTATTGCAGTATACCTCTGACGCGACCTGCTAACATCGCACTGAGATTTGGTTTGGTTGTTGTTTAACGCCGGACTCAGCAATATTCCAGCTATATGGTAACAGTCTGTTAATAATCGAGTTTGGACCATACAATCCAGTGATCAACAGCATGAGCATCAATCTACGTAACTGGGATACGATGACATGTGTCAACCAAGTCAGCTAGCCTGGCCACCCGATATCGTTAGTGGCCGACAAGCATGGGTTGCTGAAGACCAGGCCTCGATTTCTCGAAACAAACTTAAGTCTGAGTTTTGACTTAAGTTAGAGTCTTGACTCAAATTTGAGAAAACGCAGGGAAATGCATTTCCCAGAATGAACTGAAATCCATATCAAACCCAAACATAGTAGACAATTTGAGTTTGGTAGATAGATTACTTAAGTTGTTTGGGTTTTTTATTTTAAAAATGCAGTTGAGTTAAAAATTCAGCTGTTTCAAATTGTCCAACTCAGTTTGAAATTTGAGTAAAAACTTAAGTTTGTTTCGAGAAATCGGGGCCTGTTCTAACCTGGATCTTCACGGGTCCCTAACACTGAGATAAATATAATGGTTCTCAAAAAGGGTAAGAATATCCTAGACTAACTATCGGGGAAAGGATATATCAATGGTTTTTGCTCCTTTGGAGTAGTATACTTGAGAAATGAATTTGATCTAATTGATCATTCAAGAAACAATATCTCAAAAACCTCGCCGCTTGGTTTTATTACCAGTTCCTTTGGCATACACGTGTCAAGCACAAAATCCAAACCAATAGATTTAATGAATTAAAGTCATACAAAGCCTCACGCCCTGTTCCCTGGCTATGTCAGACTGTAGCTGTCGACAGTTGAAAACATCATTAAAACATTACCTGAAGAATATTAAGAGGCATTCTATGTCAAGGCCGCATATAAAGCTGACAGGTGGGGTTCCTGAAATTTACTACTATTCTGCTTGTGCCTTCCAAACATGATAGAACGTAATTCGACAGAACAATTTCTGCCCATACATTTTCTTCAATACATATTTAAACTTGGAAAGGATGAGACACTAAATAATGTCCTACACTAAGTAGTTTTATTACCAATAGAATTAAGATAACTCTTTCAAAATTAGGTCTTTATTTTGTTTAAACGGATATGTGATACAGAAAAAAATACTGCTTAGAAACCGGTAAAATGTATAATCCTAGTGTAAAACAATACAAATGGCCATGGTAAACACGATCAATCTTGTGTGGTGTTTCTCAGCGTTGTATGTGTAAATCAATCCTTGTATTTTGTATGCACTGTGTATGGAGTTTGCAAATCAAAACATTGATTACACAACAGTCTCGTATCCTGTTGACTGGGTTCCGTCCTATTGCGCAACTTAGGACAATAACCAGTCCAGAATTTTGAGACCAATTCATTTTACTGGATACAATGTAACATATATATTAATCAGTATTATCTGATACATCTAAGCACTTGTTTATTGCAACACTACGCTCCTTATAATCCTTGCAAACATGTCGTGCAGTGTGCTCTGCGTACAGCAAGCTCTGCCTTTTCCCGTATTGCAGTATACCTCTGACGCGACCTGCTAACCTCGCACTGAGATTTGGTTTGGTTGTTGTTTAACGCCGCACTCAGCAATATTCCAGCTATATGGCAACAGTCTGTTAATAATCGAGTCTGGACCATACAATCCAGTGATCAACAGCATGAGCATCAATCTACGTAACTGGGATACGATGACATGTGTCAACCAAGTCAGCTAGCCTGGCCACCCGATATCGTCAGTGGCCGACAAGCATGGGTTGCTGAAGACCAGTTCTAACCTGGATCTTCACGGGTCCCTAACACTGAGACAAATATAATGGTACTCAAAAAGGTTAAGAATACTCTAGACTGACTATTGGGGAAAGGATATATCAATGGTTTTACTCCTTTTGAGTAGTATACTTGAGAAATGAATTTGATCTATAGTATGTTTTGCAGTGAAAACGTACCAATGAATTTCACTTTAAACAAAAAAAGTAAATCACATAAAGTGAAATTAAGATTGCGAATCCTCATGATTTTACCTTGCCAACTGAACTTTTAAATCTCAGAATTTTATTCAACTTAGGATAAAAGTTGTTTAACAAACGATCATAGTTTCAAATCGCTATTATTGGTTTGTATTACAAGGAAGTACGCGTAGTAGTTGGAATATTGAAACAAATGCACGTACGGTCAGTGATGAGCGTTAACTTAGACTACTGTAGAAACCAACCCTTCTTGTTCGGGGTTTCATTTAATGTGCATACCCCTTGTAATACATACCAATCATAGCGATTTGAAATTATGATTGTTTGTTAAACAACTTTATCCTTAGTTGACTAAAATTCTGAGACTTTAAGGTTCAATTGGCAAGGTAAAGTTATGAGGATTCGCAATCTTAATTTCACATTATTTGGTTTACTTTTTGTTTAAAGTGAAATTCATCGGTACGTTTTCACTGCAAACAGACTATAATAGATCATTCAAGAAACAATATCTCAAAAACCTCGCCGCTTGGTTTTATTACCAGTTCCTTTGGCATACACGTGTCAAGCGCAAAATCCAAACCAGTACATTTAATGAATTAAAGTCATACAAAGCCTCACGCCCTGTTCCCTGGCTATGTCAGACTGCAGCTGTCGACAGTTGAAAACATCATTAAAACATTACCTGAAGAATATTAAGAGGCATTCTATGTCAAGGCCGCATATAAAGCGGACAGGTGGGGTTCCTGAAATTTACTTATATTCTGCTTGTGCCTTCCAAACATGATATTTTTGTACCGAAACAGGATAGAACGTAATTCGACAGAACAATTTCTGCCCATACATTTTCTTCAATTATATTTAAACTTGGAAAGGATGAGACACTAAATATTGTCCTACACTAAGTAGTTTTATTACCAATAGAATTAAGATAACTCTTTCAAAATAAGGTCTTTATTTTGTTTAAACGGATATGTGATACAGAAAAAATACTGCTTAGAAACCGGTAAAATGTATAATCCTAGTGTAAAACAATACAAATGGCCATGGTAAACACTACCAATCTTGTGTGGTGTTTCTCAGCGTTGTATGTGTAAATCAATCCTTGTATTTTGTATGCACTGTGTATGGAGTTTGCAAGTCAAAACATTGATTACACAACAGTCTCGTTTCCTGTTGACTGGGTTCCGTCCTATTGCGCAACTTAGTACAATAACCAGTCGAGAATTTTGAGACCAATTCATTTAACTGGATACAATGTAACATACATATTAATCAGTATTATTTGATACATCTAAGCACTTGTTTATTGCAACACTACGCTCCTTATAATCCTTGCAAACATGTCGTGCAGTGTGCTCTGCGTACAGCAAGCTCTGCCTTTTCCCGTATTGCAGTATACCTCTGACGCGACCTGCTAACCTCGCACTGAGATTTGGTTTGGTTGTTGTTTAACGCCGCACTCAGCAATATTCCAGCTATATGGCAACAGTCTGTTAATAATCGAGTCTGACCATACAATCCAGTGATCAACAGCATGAGCATCAATCTACGTAACTGGGATACGATGACATGTGTCAACTAAGTCAGCTAGCCTGGCCACCCGATATCGTCAGTGGCCGACAAGCATGGGTTGCTGAAGACCAGTTCTAACCTGGATCTTCACGGGTCCCTAACACTGAGACAAATATAATGGTACTCAAAAAGGTTAAGAATACTCTAGACTGACTATTGGGGAAAGGATATATCAATGGTTTTTACTCCTTTTGAGTAGTATACTTGAGAAATGAATTTGATCTATAGTATGTTTGCAGTGAAAACGTACCAATGAATTTCACTTTAAAACAAAAAGTAAATCACATAAAGTGAAATTAAGATTGCGAATCCTCATGATTTTACCTTGCCAACTGAACTTTTAATCTCAGAATTTTATTCAACTTAGGATAAAGTTGTTTAACAAACGATCATAGTTTCAAATCGCTATTATTGGTTTGTATTACAAGGAGTACGCGTAGTAGTTGGAATATTGAAACAAATGCACGTACGGTCAGTGATGAGCGTTAACTTAGACTACTGTAGAAACCAACCCTTCTTGTTCGGGGTTTCATTTAATGTGCATACCCCCTTGTAATACATACCAATCATAGCGATTTGAAATTATGATTGTTTGTTAAACAACTTTTATCCTTAGTTGACTAAAATTCTGAGACTTTAAGGTTCAATTGGCAAGGTAAAGTTATGAGGATTCGCAATCTTAATTTCACATTATTTGGTTTACTTTTTTGTTTAAAGTGAAATTCATCGGTACGTTTTCACTGCAAACAGACTATAATAGATCATTCAAGAAACAATATCTCAAAACCTCGCCGCTTGGTTTTATTACCAGTTCCTTTGGCATACACGTGTCAAGCGCAAAATCCAAACCAGTACATTTTAATGGAATTAAAGTCATACAAAGCCTCACGCCCTGTTCCCTGGCTATGTCAGACTGCAGCTGTCGACAGTTGAAAAACATCATTAAAACATTACCTGAAGAATATTAAGAGGCATTCTATGTCAAGGCCGCATATAAAGCGGACAGGTGGGGTTCCTTGAAATTTACTTATATTCTTGCTTGTGCCTTCCAAACATGATATTTTTGTACCGAAACAGGATAGAACGTAATTCGACAGAACAATTTCTGCCCATACATTTTCTTCAATTATATTTAAACTTGGAAAGGATGAGACACTAAATATTGTCCTACACTAAGTAGTTTTATTACCAATAGAATTAAGATAACTCTTTCAAAATAAGGTCTTTATTTTGTTTAAACGGATATGTGATACAGAAAAAAATACCGCTTAGAAACCGGTAAAATGTATAATCCTAGTGTAAAACAATACAAATGGCCATGGTAAACACTACCAATCTTGTGTGGTGTTTCTCAGCGTTGTATGTGTAAATCAATCCTTGTATTTTGTATGCACTGTGTATGGAGTTTGCAAGTCAAAACATTGATTACACAACAGTCTCGTTTCCTGTTGACTGGGTTCCGTCCTATTGCGCAACTTAGTACAATAACCAGTCGAGAATTTTGAGACCAATTCATTTAACTGGATACAATGTAACATACATATTAATCAGTATTATTTGATACATCTAAGCACTTGTTTATTGCAACACTACGCTCCTTATAATCCTTGCAAACATGTCGTGCAGTGTGCTCTGCGTACAGCAAGCTCTGCCTTTTCCCGTATTGCAGTATACCTCTGACGCGACCTGCTAACCTCGCACTGAGATTTGGTTTGGTTGTTGTTTAACGCCGCACTCAGCAATATTCCAGCTATATGGCAACAGTCTGTTAATAATCGAGTCTGGACCATACAATCCAGTGATCAACAGCATGAGCATCAATCTACGTAACTGGGATACGATGACATGTGTCAACCAAGTCAGCTAGCCTGGCCACCCGATATCGTCAGTGGCCGACAAGCATGGGTTGCTGAAGACCAGTTCTAACCTGGATCTTCACGGGTCCCTAACACTGAGACAAATATATATGGTACTCAAAAAGGTTAAGAATACTCTAGACTGACTATTGGGGAAAGGATATATCAATGGTTTTTACTCCTTTTGAGTAGTATACTTGAGAAATGAATTTGATCTATAGTATGTTTGCAGTGAAAACGTACCAATGAATTTCACTTTAAACAAAAGTAAAAGTAACATAAAGTGAAATTAAGATTGCGAATCCTCATGATTTTACCTTGCCAACTGAATTTTTAATCTCAGAATTTTATTCAACTTAGATAAAGTTGTTTAACAAACGATCATAGTTTCAAATCGCTATTATTGGTTTTGTATTACAAGGGAGTACGCGTAGTAGTTGGAATATTGAAACAAATGCACGTACGGTCAGTGATGAGCGTTAACTTAGACTACTGTAGAAACCAACCCTTCTTGTTCGGGGTTTCATTTAATGTGCATACCCCTTGTAATACATACCAATCATAGCGATTTGAAATTATGATTGTTTGTTAAACAACTTTTATCCTTAGTTGACTAAAATTCTGAGACTTTAAGGTTCAATTGGCAAGTGCTAAAGTTATGAGGATTCGCAATCTTAATTTCACATTATTTGGTTTACTTTTTTGTTTAAAGTGAAATTCATCGGTACGTTTTCACTGCAAACAGACTATAATAGATCATTCAAGAAACAATATCTCAAAAACCTCGCCGCTTGGTTTTATTACCAGTTCCTTTGGCATACACGTGTCAAGCGCAAAATCCAAACCAATAGATTTAATGAATTAAAGTCATACAAAGCCTCACGCCCTGTTCCCTGGCTATGTCAGACTGTAGCTGTCGACAGTTGAAAACATCATTAAAACATTACCTGAAGAATATTAAGAGGCATTCTATGTCAAGGCCGCATATAAAGCGGACAGGTGGGGTTCCTGAAATTTACTAATATTCTGCTTGTGCCTTCCAAACATGATATTTTTGTACCGAAACAGGATAGAAGGTAATTGACAGAACAATTTCTGCCCATACATTTTCTTCAATTCATATTTAAACTTGGAAAGGATGAGACACTAAATAATGTCCTACACTAAGTAGTTTTATTACCAATAGAATTAAGATAACTCTTTCAAAATTAGGTCTTTATTTTGTTTAAACGGATATGTGATACAGAAAAAAATACTGCTTAGAAACCGGTAAAATGTATAATCCTAGTGTAAAACAATACAAATGGCCTTGGTAAACACGATCAATCTTGTGTGGTGTTTCTCAGCGTTGTATGTGTAAATCAATCCTTGTATTTTGTATGCACTGTGTATGGAGTTTGCAAGTCAAAACATTGATTACACAACAGTCTCGTATCCTGTTGACTGGGTTCCGTCCTATTGCGCAACTTAGGACAATAACCAGTCCAGAATTTTGAGACCAATTCATTTTACTGGATACAATGTAACATACATATTAATCAGTATTATTTGATACATCTAAGCACTTGTTTATTGCAACACTACGCTCCTTATAATCCTTGCAAACATGTCGTGCAGTGTGCTCTGTCGTACAGCAAGCTCTGCAAACAAAAACCTGGCAATCGTGGAAATCTCAAAGCGAGGCTCTGCCGCTAGAACAATGGCGGTCTGGTACGGACTTGATATTACTAGTATATCAATCACATTGTGCGTTACAGAACTACACTGAATAAGCGCAAAAAACACATAACAGATGTAACCAGTAAGCCAGATGCATTGCAAATCATTTTACGACCTCATCAAACTGGGGCAGTCTGTGACGTCTTAGTTAAGGTCATGCTGCCTCCACCTCGCCATAAAATATAGAAATACGATGTTGTTAAAGTTTAAAATTAAAATTCATTTGTAAATACCATTTTCTTATGAAACAAGGAATTGGAATTCAGTGTAACCATAGTTGTTTGTGATATCTATTTTCACTTTCACACGAGAAAATTCGGATCGTAAGAAAGTAGGTCATTGTCTGAATAGATTAATGAGACTCATGCTTCGGTTTGATCGAGTGCCTGTCTCAACAATACCGAATATAATATACAGAAAATAAATATTGTTAATTTATATAAAAAATTAATATTGTTATTTTTAATAAAAAAAAAAATAATGATGATTTAACAGCTCCAACGAAGTTGACCTACGTCAACGACTACTCCCAACCCTCACTCACTCACCCTCGGTCCACGTGGCCTTCAGAATGTCCTCCATCTCCGGACTTGTTAGCAGGACGACGTAGTCATTGGCCTTCTTCAGGTTCGACAGGTAGACTGCAACAAACAAGGCAACAATGACAAAAATAGAAAATTACATTAGTGAGTGAGTGGGTTGGGTTGGGTTTTACGCTGCTTTTAGCAATATTCAAGCAGAATCACGGAGGGGGACACCAGAGATGGGCTTCACACATTGTACCCATGTGGGGAATCGAACCCTCGACGAGCGAATGTTTTAACCACAAGGATATCCCACTGCATGAAGGAGAATTGGTGAAACCTATGTACTGAGTGAGTGAGTTTAGTTTTACGCCGCACTCAGAAATATTCCAGCTATATGGCGGTGCCCTGTAAATAATCGAGTCTGTACCAGACAATTCAGTGATCAACAGCATGAACATCGATCTGCGCAACTGGGAACCGATGACATGTGTCAACCATGTCAGCGAGCCTGACCACCCGATCCTCTTAGTCGCCTCTTACGATAAGCATGGGTTACTGAAGATCAATATCCTAACCCGGACCTTCAGGGGTAGGCCAGATATGAGTTAAAAGTAATAGTCATATGTTTCAAATCTCTTTATTCCATTACTGAAGAGGCCACAGGCCTATAGTACAAAATATAAAAACAATAATGGCATACAATCACAATGTTTGCAAACGTTATTTTCTTTGTTCAAAAGCATGGTGGATATACATACCAAGTTTACGAATATAAGTTGTATTATTATCAAATTAAATTTAAACATGGTAGGATGTGAATAGTAATATTGTGGTAGATATTTTCTCCTTAAATAAGCATAGTAAGGACATACCAGCAAAAAGTGGAATTCATCTTCAATTACATTTAGTGCACAAAATTTGCACAATCTGTTTTCTCTTGGAATATTATAATATCTGCCCTTCTCGATCATAAGATCATGTGAAGAGCATCTAAATCTGGATAATGAAACGTGGAATTTTCTAAGATTAATATCGTATAGGTATTGCTCTGTATGGAAAAAAGATTTAAAAGTACTGTAAAAAGTGGATTTGGGCGACTGTATTAAAGATGAGTTCCAGGTCTGAATGTACATATATTTTAATCTTTGCGATAAAGCATTATAAAATGACTTTGGGCAGGTAATCTTTTGTGACAAAAATACATCACTAAAACCACAATGATTTAGTAAATTTCTAACATTCGTTACATTCGTTGATTTTCCGTTGGTGTCAAACAAATACATCATGTTATAACATTTCTTAGGAAATCTTGATGCAGGCATATTCAAGAGCGTTACCCAGTATTTGATAACGTTTATCTGTGCTTCTAGATAAAGTGGGAAGCGACCGCATTCACCATAGATCATCACATTTGGGGTATTTAATTTAACTCCTAAGATTTTTTTACACGCGTACAAGTGAACCTTTTCCAATGCTTCCAACCGAGAAAAGCCCCAAACTTCTGCCCCATATAGCAAAATTGGTTTAATTTTTGTATCAAATATTTTGAAATATATTTTGAAATTTACATTGCCCAATTTCTTATAATTACTGTAAATGCCCATAAAAACCTTCCGTCCCTGTAAAGCAGCACTATTACCATGATGATACCATGATAACGTATTGGCAAAATGGACCCCTAGATATTTATATCCTTTAACAACTTCTAAGTAGTCTCCGTTATAAAGCCATTTTTCTGATTTGGACAATTTAACGCCTTTCTTAAAGACAACAACCTTTGTTTTATTTGCATTTACATTAAGCTTAAATTCACGGCAATGGCTTTCCAGCAAGGTAATTTGTATTTGTAGACCCTTCACTGTACTTGAGAACATGATGACATCATCAGCAAACAATAACAAAATGCCTTAACAATGTCCGGGTGCAACTGAATACCAGCTGTACAATTTTGATACACAACTGACGCTAATTCATTTATAAAGAAAATGAACAGAAATGGGTTTAGTATACAGCCTTGGCGTACACCAATATTGCAATCAAATGTTGATGACATAACACCATTGTTACGCACACATGCTTTCACATTGTTATATATATTACATAATAGTTTTCTCATTTTGCTACTCAAGCCGTTCTGGGTGAGTAGTTTCCATAATTTGTTCCTATCAACCGAGTCGAATGCCTTGGCAAAATCTACAAATAAAACATAAAATTTACCACCTTTACGTGAGATATAACGCTGTACAAGGCTTTGAAGAATAAACATATTGTCAGTGGTGGAGTAGCCCTCTCTAAAGCCCGCTTGTGAATCGTGAATTTTATCTTTCGTTAGTCGCCTCTTACGATAAGCATGGGTTACTGAAGATCAATATCCTAACCCGGACCTTCAGGGGTAGGCCAGATATGAGTTATAAGTATTAGTCATATGTTGCTGAAGACTGCTGTCAATGTCATGAAGTTGTTTATAGCGGCCCTGCAGTTGAACCAATGACTTCAGATCCAACCTTTGACAGTGATTGGACAACGCTTGTAATATGGACACTATAAATTGTTCACTGGTCACGAGGGGGGCATGGGTTGATGTACATAGAGGGTACATCAACCCATGGGCCCCGAGGGACCGGTGAACAACGTATTTATCTTACCGAACACCTTAATGTTAATTTTAAATTGTTTGAAGCACGGGTACAAATCTTTTTGCAGCCATCGCTTGATTTTGCTCACAAGAAAAACAGATTTAGAGTTATCTCCCTTCCATCGATTTGCATTCGCAAAACGTCGGTAATTTCCGTACATCATACGTGATTCAATGTAATTCGAGATAAAGAATTACTACCACGAAGTACCAAATGAGTTGCCATTGACAGCGGGGTACATTGAAATGTACCTCGCTTGTAAGCGGGGTACATTGAAAATAATAGAAGAGCGCTCAGGCAATCAGAAAGCCACATTTATGTGTGAGGTAAGATAAACGTTTATGTCACCTCTAGGTCAGTATAGCCACAACTGTGCGCCATCTTGTTGGCAGAGAGGCCACCGCTGACTGGGTCTCTGGCGGTCCATACCGTAACTAAGCATGTCGGGATCTGTGGGTAATACGTCCCTCTAACCCATAACCAACTTTTCACCAGCCAAGGAAATCCCTTTGGGTTTAATGTCGAATTATAAAAAATCAATTCGAAGAAAAATATAAAAATTTTGACATAACTTTCATACGCCGCCATTCACTGGGTAGTGTTGCTCTGGGCACACGGGAAACCTATGATCGTAGGTCGCCATCCTACCCATGCTTGTGGTACAAATGCCTGAGTCCGTTTTTTCTCGCTTTAAGGTGACGTGCCATGACATAACGATAATATGCGCGTTACATGCACTCTCACTCATTCACTCACTCTAACTCCACACGGACATAAATAGTCAGGAAGAGACATGGACTAGAGAAGGCTTTTTTACTCTTAACTCGAATGCGGAAATCATATAGTACTAAAATCCAACTCAACATTTTATGTATTTTATCAATATTTTGGGACACCGAAATGGGTAGCCAATGGCTTATCTATGGTTTGTCAACAAGTCAGAAGTGTTTGGTACTAATTACAACGTCTCTCGCTTTGTAAAGAAAGAACATTCACATCACGCAAAACCCATAAATTAGTTAGAACTCTTTACCTTGAAATTAATTTTGCAAATCTAAAGAGTAAAACGTGGAATTATAGCATAATTTATCTCACAATTTGTATATCTGATCACAACTAAAAGCTTCAACAGGAGCATAGGCTACCATCGGCTGGTTCTCGACGCGTCTCATTCAACCGTTTACTCTTCTGGGTCAGTTCGCCCATGACGTAGTGTGATGAGTTACCATTAGTCCTGGCCGTTGATGTGAACATTATGTTTACGCGTAGGAAATGTCATCCATCTCATTAGTTCTATAAATACCCGCACATTCTTATCTCAGTTGATTCAATTATAAACGATTTTGTAAAAGGGCGAATATTACTTTCAGTGTGGCATATGCCGTATGCCATACTGATAAACTTTGGTCTTATAGTATCTTCAAATGTTTACAAGTCAATAAAATTGGCAGTGTTTTGTACAAAAGCTACTCACTTAAAGTATATCATGGCGATCTCTCCAACGGTATGAGTTACAAGCATATTGGTTGAATATCCCGACAGGGATTAAACATCTGTAGAGGTCGTGGAGATGTCAGCCTTTCAGATCTGTGAAACCCCTAGACCTAGCGATTGAAGTTGGCTATGGTAGGGAATTATGAGTGAGTGCGTGGGTTTAGTTTTACGCCGCTTCTAGTATCATTCCAGCAATATCACGGCGGGGACACCAGAAATGGGCTTGACACACATTGTACCCATATGGCGAATCGAACCCGGGTCTTCGGCGTGACGAGCGAACGCTTTAACCACAAGGCTATAGCCCCTAGGGAATGGCGACGGCTCTGAGAAGGGTTTTTTCAGAAAAGACGAGGCAGTTGATCCTCCATTAAACCGTTAAACACCCTCAATGTCGGTATTCTAGCATTATGGTGCGAATGTGAGACAGTGAGCATTGTCTGATCCACAATTAGCATTATCAAGACAATAGGGACACGATCAAGTGGTTCATTCAGATTCCTCTCACGTACATGTCACCTTTATGTAACTTTCATGAGGGGGACATTTCAAAGCCAAGGACAATGTTCGGCGTCAGCCTGTTTCGTCTTACATCAGTCGCCAGCACGAGACATTGTACCAGAAATAGGTCATGAGATGCAATGAGGCTTGCAGCTGACAGCTGAGAAGTTTGAGCTTTCGACACTGATCAGAAAACATTCAAAACCAATCTTCACAAACATATATTTACAAATTTAATAATGTTTTCTTTGGTATGAGATATTTTGGATCAATTTTCTTTGCAGCAAATGTCAACGTGTCAGGTGAATGAATAGCGTGTCCATAAGCTGAACTTAAACGGGTCAAGGGTCAAATGGGGGTCGAGGGTTAGCTCTTCGGTGAGATTTCAACCGCTGCATTTGTGATAGCTTTGCCTAAACAACGAGACTTATGCGCCCGTATTACAGCTGTGACCTCGAAAGTAACACGCGCGTCAACAAGCTATATCTCAAACCTGGGACCCGTATCTGAACTAGACATGCATTACATAATCGTGGCTTCATGGCGAGTAAATGCCGACCTTTGTACCCAGAACATTTAAGCGTTCATTGTGGTAATTTCTATTAACTGTGGGTGCCTCCTTGTAACGGTCATTGCTTACGAATAGGACTCGATTTGCCTAATTGCATCCATAGACTCACTTGGAGCAGTCTATATTTAAACCAAAGTGAGGTGAAATTGGGTTTAACGTCGTGCTTGAGAATATTTCGCTCATATGACGACGTGCATGCGTGTGTATGTGTATGTGCGGCTGCTTGTACTAGCCCAGACTGAAGCTGGTTTTATAGTGCTAGCCCACTGAGATACCATGCCGCAGTGAAGCATGAATACCCCACTCAGACACATTATACTGACTCCGAGCCAACCAGTCCTTGATGTACCCATTAATGCCGAGCGCCAGGCAGGGACCAACAAGTACCATATTTTAACGTCTTTTGGTATGACGCGGTCGGGGATCGAACCCGCGACCTTCCGCTCTCCGGGCGGACGCTCTAACCACTACACCATGGAGGCGGTCCTTTAAACCAAAGTACAACCTATAGTTAAATATTACATTTCATGAGAGAAATGACTTAGCTATGATGATTCATCAATATCTAACATAGATTGGGATTTACTGCTTTTATTAGTTGTATAGTGCGAACCAGTTGGTCCATAGTTTCATCATACAAGTTAAATGTCTTTATGATGGCAAATATCATCGTTAGAAATTACAGAATATACATTTTAATCATTTAATAACTATAACAGACACCAATTGTGCTATAATATCTGCGCATAATGTAATTCTGAAAACCTATCCAGATGGTATAACGAAATCGAGCTAGCTCTTTTTCCACTATTAACCTAGGCAATAGTTTATATTGTAATCGTTCAAAAACGTTTAGTTTCATAATATTTCTAATGTTAGGTGACCTAATTATTGCCATTGCTATCTCAGATGAAATGTAGACATTCCCATTCAACAAATATATTTCCTGGTATTCGAATGGGGTTAGATTCTATAATATTTATCAAAAATGTACGATATTAGTTAAATCTCTGCATTTCTCTTCTTTTCTTTAGCGTTGAAGTGGGAGTTTTAATTGCGGAGTTGTTTCTTAATGGTAAAACCTGTTCAACTGGGCCACTGACCACGTCCATTAATGTCCCTGATGTCAAGGATAACACGAAATGAAAGCCATTCAACGGGGCGCTGTTCCCCGAGGCAGCCAGATCTGACATATCATCTGAATCTAAGCGACAGCTTCGTTACTGGCGTGATATATGTTTCCCTTCTCCTTGAATGCAAGACTGAATGTGCTTCTAATGGGACGGTTATCTGTTACACATTGGAGATCGAGTTTTCATATAAACTATAAACAAACGTTCGACGAGTAGTATGACACAGTATTCGTTCTGAACAAAATGAAATACATTCTTGATCTGCCTTTGATTTCCCCAAATCTCTGTCGTCTTAAAGCGAGGTCTATAAAGGTTCGGGCCTCTTTGGAGTCCAGGCAAGACTGATAACTCTTGGTTTATTGGGCATATTAACCAAGCAGTTTTCGACTACTCTTATACACGTTTAATTTTTTCATGTTTTTGTTTTGTTTTTTTCTTGACTGGACTGGAAAGGAACACATTGACATGAACACCGATCTTTACAAACTCTTCCTGTTAGACTGTTTAAGAAAAGGCAACAGGCTTTGGTACTTGTTCTTTTTTCACTTCATAAATGCATAATAAAATTCTTATTGTGAGTTGTAAAGCGACTTAATGCGACCAGATGGGCACCTTTATTGCCGTTGCATGACTGGCTGTTCGAGTGCAATCTGCCGTCTTCACATGTGAATGCCACACAATGTATGTAGAAAATGAGTATCACGACATACCTTCGATATACTCGCATTTACACTTGACTTAATGTGTGAGTATTGATTATCTTGAACAACCATCACGTAGTGTTCTTATTTCCAGATGACACCACAACTAGCGTTTGTTAATAATGCAAATATGAATGTAATCTGTCTCGTTGCACACCAGGCACATATAGCTACTTCAGGCAAACCCTGCAAATTACTAAACAATGTTCGTCAGCTCGGAGGAGAAATGCAACATTTCAACTTACAGTCAAGCGCAAACTCCGAGTGGTGGCTCCCGTCAACGGCCACCACAACTACTCGGCTACCCTCGGGGGGACCTGCGTGATCGTGGTCGTGCGAGAGGATCTCCTTCTTAATAAAACTTCCAGTCGACTTTGCAGCCATCTTTACTCTCCCGTTGAACAATGTCGTCTGCTTCAGCTCTGCAACGCGGTGTGTTCGGTTGGAGGAGTCGGGTTGCGGCTTACTGAACGCGGAGGTCATTTTCGATTGGATATATAAGACATGACGCGGGTTTACCATGTCATATACACACGAGAGGAATATGACACCGCAAGACAGAGTGATGTTGATGGGGCATTAAAGGTTGATGTGAACTTTTATTCGGTGTCACTTTACATCCGTGGAAAATAATATTACATGTTGTTGTAAATGAAGACGACAGTATAGAGATGTTAACTGAATCGTCAGTATTGCGTACCATACAAACACATACACCTGAGGTATATCAGTAGTTTTTGAAGCATGATAGAAGGAAGGCGAAAGCATATATTCAAATATACACAGAAAGATCGTTGTTAGACTATCCTTTTTGTATAAAAAGGAATATGTCAGGTACACCTGTATATACAACACGGAATATGTCAGGTACACCTGTATATACAACACGGAATATGTCAGGTACACCTGTATATACAACACGGAATATGTCAGGTACAACTGTATATACAACACGGAATATGTCAGGTACACCTGTATATACAACACGGAATATGTCAGGTACACCTGTATATACAACACGGAATATGTCAGGTACAACTGTATATACAACACGGAATATGTCAGGCACAGCTGTATATACAACACGTGATATGTCAGGTACACCTGTGTATACAACACGTGATATGTCAGGTACAGCTGTGTATACAACACGGAATATGTCAGGCACAGCTGTATATACAACACGGAATATGTCAGGTACACCTGTATATACAACACGGAATATGTCAGGTACACCTGTATATACAACACGGAATATGTCAGGTACACCTGTATATACAACACGGAATATGTCAGGTACACCTGTATATACAACACGGAATATGTCAGGTACACCTGTATATACAACACGGAATATGTCAGGTACAACTGTATATACAACACGGAATATGTCAGATACACCTGTATATACAACACGGAATATGTCAGGTACACCTGTATATATAACACGGAATATGTCAGGTACAACTGTATATACAACACGGAATATGTCAGGTACACCTGTATATACAACACGGAATATGTCAGGCACAGCTGTATATACAACACGGAATATGTCAGGTACAACTGTATATACAACACGGAATATGTCAGGTACACCTGTATATACAACACGGAATATGTCAGGTACACCTGTATATACAACACGGAATATGTCAGGTACACCTGTATATACAACACGGAATATGTCAGGTACAACTGTATATACAACACGGAATATGTCAGGTACACCTGTATATACAACACCGAATGTGTTGTTACAGCTGCACGTACAGCATGCATTGTCTTGGTTACATGGTCACGTGCAGCATGGAATGTGCTGATTACACCACAAGCCGGCATATGCAGCACGGAATATGTCGATTACACCTGCAGGTACAACAAGGAATATGTCTGTGCGAGGACATGTTGACAACAAATCGGAGATGAGGTACTGAGAAATCTTAGTTGACTAAGGCAACTAAGGGTAGGAGTATAGATACAAAATTATGCCTTATGTGCCAATGAGTGTATATCTTTGACCGTTGAGGAGTACTATGAACGCTTGCGACACTTTGCCCCACGTTGGGCGCCAATGTAAGACTTGGGGGTCCCACGCTCCCTCTTGCCCCTGTCATGTGACAACATAGCCCCTGGGGATTGGCTAAAAAAACTGTTGCTATGGAACCCATAGCACCAGTGCCTTGAGCCCCAGAACCCTATCAGATAACTGGTAAAGGGCAGGATATTGGGTTACTTGTGCAAAAGACTAGGACAAAATATCCAGCCTTTACACTCTCCCCCCCTTTAAGGAAATTTTGTAACCCGGATTGAAATCGGTAAATACAAATACATGATTAAACAATGCTTCGGGTGAACAATCATTCGTAACCCTCTTGTGTCACACATGTATGACCTGACAATACTTCTTCGTAAATGGATCCCAGGAAAAGAACCTAGTGCTTCGTCGCTGGCGCTGGGATCTACGAGGAGTTTCCGGCAAGGTCATGATAACAGTCTCCTCACAGGGGAGAGACTGAAGTGGTTCCTCCGCAGCAACTGGATCACTTATAGCAGAGTCCACAGAGTTCTCAGATAGGTCTGGCTCACCACCAGATGATACAGATCACAAGGGGCGATGAGCGATGTATCCTCATTGTCCGGATCTTCAGGCAGCCTATCTTCTTTTTGATGTAGTTCTCCTGAGTCCCCACTCTCCATGGGTTCTGATGGAGCAGCTTCAGCTTCCACTGCAACCGTTTCCCAGGTGAGGGGTCCTGCAGTGGTTGCCTCATTCTGCATACCGGGAACCACTTGGATTGCGGGGACTTCCTCTACAGTAGGTTGTGAGTATGGCAGCACCTGCTCTTGTGGTTCAAAGGGTTGAGCCTCAGGGTTCAAGCTGCTAGTGGGTACAGCTCTAATAGGTTCAGGCTGTTGGTACCATACATTGACAGTGTGTAGTTCGTCTTCAGAGGATTCCAAGATGTCCTCCGGTTGTTGATTTCGGGTTCTGGATCTGGTAACAGGCTGCCTCTGACATTGGTTTCTTTCTGGTTCATCCATATCTAGGGGCAATGAACCAACAGGAAGTAAGAGGTTGCGATGGTAAGTCTTCGAGGGCCCGTCTCCATTTTCTGGTCGAACGACATAGACAGGCAGTTCACCTTGGTGACGTTCGACAATGAAGACTCCCGACTTCCATCTGTCAGCGATCTTATGTTTTCCTTTGACCCCAATGTTACGGACAAGAACCCGGTCACCTGGTTCCAATGCTGCTGCATGAGCCTTTCGGTCATAGTAGCCCTTGTTGCGAATCGCTGACTTTTGGGCATTCTCCCTGGCCACTTGGAATGCAAACTGGAGTCGGTTCCGCAGATCTTTGACATACTGTTGAGGTCCTTTTGAAGTCCTGCTGTCAGGATCTGTTCCAAACACCATGTCTATTGGTAGGCGTGCATGACGGCCGAACATGAGGTAGTATGGAGAGTAGCCTGTGGTGTCATGTACAATGCAGTTGTATGCATGGGCTAGAGGTCCAACATATTTTCTCCAGTCTTTCTTTTGGCTGTGGTTGAGAGTGCCGAGCATATCCAGGAGGGTACGATTCATCCTTTCGGTTACACCATTGCACCTTGGGTTGTATGGTGACGTTCTTATTTTCTTGATGCCAGCCATATCGCACAACTTCTTGATGACTTTTGATTCAAAGTCCCGTCCTTGATCCGACAATAGGTGCTGAGGGTAACCATAGTGACAGATGAGGTTTTCCCATAAAGCTTTGGCTACAGTGGTAGCTTTCTGATCCTTTGTTGGAACTGCCATTGCGTACTTTGTGAAGTGGTCCGTGATCACCAGTACGTTTTCAAAGCCACCTTTGTCTGGTTCGATGGACAGGTAGTCAATGCAGACTAGTTCAAGCGGGACAGATGGTAAGATGGCTTCCAGTGGTGCAGTTTCTTTCCTGGCTTTCCTCCTGATGCATCTTTCACAGTTTGAACAGAAAGTTTGGATGGAGGTAGCCATGAATGGCCAGAAGAATCTCTGGCGGGCAAGGGATAAAGTGCTGTTGCTGCAGGGATGTCCAACTTGATCATGAACTCCATGAATTGCCTCCTTGCGATATTGTTTGGGGATGACCAGCTGTTGTCGTTCTATACCCTTGGCATCAGTGACCATTCTGTAGAGGATTTCATCTTTAATAACAAGCTTCTCCAGTTCTCGCAGGTAGACATGCATGTCGGGATGGAGTTTGGATGTCTTTGCTTTGCATGATCCCTCCTTTGATTGGAGTACTGACATGATTTGACAGATTTCTGAATCCAGGCTTTGCGCTGTTTTCCAATCCACTGACGACATCCCTCGATCATGGACTGTAGGTGGCGTGACCAAACTGTCAGGAACTGCTTTCTTGGAACAGGAAAGAGCTTCCACCAGAACAGGTTCTTCCGTGCTGGACATGACAGCGTTTTGAGAGTATGCCATGCACTTCTTTTCTTGCCTGCTTATTTCTTTGAGATTCCCTTTGCTGCCTACCCTCTGAACTGCTGTGAATGCCATGACATTGAAGAATAGCCCGGATTGAGCATGAGGAACACTCCACCACTCCAGATTCTGGAGCATCGAGGGGTGTGCTCCGAGCAATCAACCAGTCTATTCTTTCAGTGTCCTGTTTAAACTCTAGATCTTCTTCTTGAGCTTCCTGTGGCAAGCGGCTTAAAGCATCTGCATCAGTCATCTGCACTCCTGGTCGATACTTGATGTTAAAGTTGTAGGCTGCTAGGGCTGCTAACCATCGGTATCCCATGGCATCAACTTTCGCTGACTTCAGGACATATGTAAGGGGATTGTTGTCTGTTACGACTGTGAATTCCGAACCATACAGGTAGTCATGAAACTTGTCAGTAACAGCCCACTTCAATGCTAGAAATTCGCGCTTGTGTGCTGGATAATTTGCCTCACTTTTAGAAAGACCTCGGCTTGCATAGGCGATGACTTTCAGGCTACCACATTGTTGTTGGTAAAGGACAGCTCCGAGTACAGTGCCACTGGCGTCAGTGTGGAGTTCAAAAGGGGCAGACAGGTCAGCATAGCCTAACACAGGAGGAGTGGTTAGTTTTTCCTTGATCTTCTCAAAGGCTGTTTGGCATTCCTCTGTCCACTTATCCCCAAAAGGCGTCTTCAGGGTGAGGTTGTTCTTCCCAGGAGCTCTTCCGAGTTTAAGCATGGTCTTCCTTGGAATGTAGCCGGCTGTCAGTGCATTTAATGGTTTGCAGAGACGACTAAATCCTTCCACAAAGCGACGGTAGTACCCCTGCAAACCCAAGGAAGCTTTCAGTTCACCAATGTTGGTTGGGACAGACCATTCCTTTACAACATTAATTTTGTTAGGGTCTGGTGATATGCCTTCTTTGGAACACACATGACCAAGGTGGGTCACAGTTGTTTGGAAGAACTTGCACTTCTCAGGGTCCAGCTTGAGGCCAAACTTGCGAAGTCGAGCAAGAGTCTGGAACAGGCGATCTTCATGTGTGG